CAAGTACATACAATTTTTAGGACAAGCTTTTTTTGGTGTACCCCCTTCTTCAAGATCTGAGCAGTACTGTCACAAGTGCACTAATATAGCTACATTCACCAAAAGCAAATAGTATTTATTGTCCCTGTCTCTTCATTTAGACTGAGATGTGGATACACCAAAATACACACTCTAAATAAGTAACATGAAAGTTGCTTTTACACAATTTTGAATTGCCAGTAACGTGTGGAATCAACTCTTTTGCAGTCCTTTGGTCCTTAGCTGTGTTGTCAGATGGCCATGATTCTATGCTAGATTATGTCTATGCCCTGTGCAATAAATGTTACATTTCTAAATTTGTTGTGTGGAAAGCTGTGACCAAATGTCAATGGGCAAACCTCAATTCCTTCCAAAAGTATTTGTTTTTGGATGGAGCAAGGAAGGTTACTTTTCAGGAAAACAGACAAAAACAAAACCATGTTATGGGGAAAGGTTAAAACTTCGAGTAGTGTTTTTGTTGATGACCATTCCTTCCTTTCCAGGTGACAGCCGTAACCTCCATTTTTTTTTTTTTTTACGGGCATCATAAGGACAAGAAGGCTCTGTGAAGACTGACCATATATTTCTTGTTTTTCATAGCATGTCATCAGAGCACAGAGAACCATTAATAATGAAATGGCACACCAGCTCTATGTATTGCAAGTTCTAACTTTCAATCTACTGGAGGATAGAATGATGACCAAAATGGATCCTCAAGACCAAGTAAGTGATTAAATCCAAATATTTTCTAAATGATGTTTTGGTAATTTACTGCAATAAAATTTACAAAAAAAAATGTTGCCCATCTTTTCAGTGGCAGTGTATTTTATAAAGATTGTGGTTCACAAACCGCTGAGCTCTCTGGGTGGAACATGTAACATGTTCAGAAAGGTAAACTTATACTTTAACTTTAAAATGTAGTTGATGGTAACACATTAAAACATACAATATCTTTCACTATATGCCTCCAATATGGACCACTGTATCAAAAAAAATATTTTATATTGTATATATTTTTTATATATACATTTTGCAGATCCCTCAAGGGATTTTTAAAAAATCTGTACATTTCAGAGTTACACAAGTTTATGTACCGCCATACTGCTCAGAATATCAAACTTCACTTACTTTTTCACACACAGTGAATTCATGATATTGTGCCTTTAGCTATACTTATGATCACAAAGCATCTCTACTAACATACAATGGTCTCCATTGAGTTTTTCTCTATTCCATTACTGTCTTCTTTCCTCTGTTTGTCCCCAGGCCCAAAGGGATATTATATTTGAGTTACGTAGAATTGCTTTTGATGTAGAGCCAGACCAAAACAACCTCGGTGGGAGTATTGAAAAAAGAAAGTCTATGTACACCAGGGACTATAAAAAGCTTGGATTCACTGTGAGTACTCCCAAAATCATTGATCATTTTTATTCTGTATATTATTGAAATCAGTTGATGTTAAGGCTACACTACTTGACATGGCTTTATGTGTTTTTTTTATTTTAGCATACATTACATACATAGAGTGCATCATAACAAAATAGCTGATACATTTACTAAGCATTATAATAAGAACTAATTTAAAAAAATAGCTATCTATAGAAATCAACCAGATATTTTTCATTTTCAAGCTCACACTACAAAAAGAATGACTGTGATTGCCCAATGGGTGTCGTGGACATTATTGCCACTTTCCATGCACAAACCAAAGCTCATACAGTGACTGGGTAGAGAGCAGTAATGATCTGCAAAATGCTCTAACCAATGATAAACAGTACATTTTTGGCTGGACCTATAAAGAAATGTAGTACAGATTTGACTGGTTGCCATGCATTACTGCCACTAGTGTAACCTTTGGCTACTGGCCAGATCAAACTAGTGCTTTGTTGTTGTTCATATAGGGAAAAAAGGGGAAATAAATGGAAAAGAAAATTAATAGGTTTGTAATTTTCATCCTGGTATGCATGTAGTATGTGTGTGTATATATATATATATATATATATATATATATATATATATATACTGTATATATAAAATGTAAACCATGTATGGTCAGAATTAGACAATGTACAGGACTGTTTGTATAAAGTAAATTTACATATATAGATTTGGTTACAATACCCATATACAGAATATGGGATAAATGGCAATTATATATCACAAAAACTGCACGAAAAAATTAAAACAGCTTAAAATGAATTTACAATAGCAATGTATGTGTGTATAGCCTGAACCAAATATTCTGGCATTCTTTTACCGATTCTGTAGCAAACAAAGCTTATTGACCATAGTAATAAACTTTTGGCGTGTAGTAGGAGGCTGCATCCTTTCCCAGAAAGGGTGCATTTTTAAACCTTGATTAAAATGTTTTACAAGGGGTACACAGCCATAACAGACTGCTAACACTTGATCAGTGCCTTCATCCAGCTGATAAGAGTTTTCCTGTTTCCACTTATTGGAGCTAGCAGCTGTCAATTTGCAATATCAAAGATACTGATTTGGCCATTCTGCCCTAAATAACATAATTTTAAGCTATCATTTGGCCCTTAGCAAATGTTATTTCTCATTGAAGACATATTTGCAATGTAAACTTTGGATTTAGTAATGACTCACAAATTTGTTAATGAATCCTGGTGCTCACAAAGGTGACTCTTGAAGTTTTGCAGATTTGTATGTTTTTGGATCTCCTTAATTTGTAATTTTGTGGCGTATTTCTCCCAGGCTATTTTAAAGTGGTTAAACCAACAATTTAAAACATAATAAAATGCACTCAAATGAATTCCTCCAGTGGTGGTAGGAAAAAAGTTTCTCAGTACAGAGATCGGGTTGCAGGCTGATGTATTACAGCTGAGAGGAGGTAGAAACTGTGATATTAGGCATGCACACAGGGAGATAGAACGCATGCTTTCCATGAACAATAATGCGTCTGTCATAGGGCTAGATCCCAGGAGCCAGACTTCCAGTATTTAAATACATCTCCCAGATTAAGTTTGTCTTCTCAACTCTTCAATAATTTATCCACAGCTGGGTTATCATATTGTATTTGTCAGGCTAGTCCTGGGAGGTTAACCAGCCTTTATAATCAGGGAGAAAGGAGATAGTTTACTCAGCACTCTACAAGCAAATTGGATTTCTGCAAGAAGTTTTCATACATCCAGGAGCACTTCTGGGCAGGAAGGGGACCATTTACTCTACTTTCTGTATGCACATTTTGACATATTCCTTATGGTGTCAGTTCCCCATCCTTTCCCATAGTTTCAGTGACTATGTAATAGACTAGAGGTTTTCAGTGAGTGGTACCTGTACTTCCTGGGAACATCTGAAAAGTTGAAAGGGAAGGAAGGTGACTATTTTTTCTCTACTTTATATATACAAATTGTGAAAAAAAACTTGAGATCTCAGTTATTTATTATTAACTATATACTAGAGTGGGCGGCACAGTGGCTTAGTGGTTAGCACATCTGTCTTGCAGTAAATGGGTCATGGGTTCCATTCCCGACCATGGCGCCTTCTGAACGGAGTTTGCATGTTCTCCCTTTGCTTGTGTGGGTTTCCTCCGGGTGCTCCGGTTTCCTCCCATACTCCAAAGACATGCTGGTAGGTTAATTGGCTCCTGTCTAAATTGTCCTAGTTTCATCCCTGGCCATGCGGGATTTCCTGCATGGTAGGGGTTGGGGAAAGACATAGCAACCTACCCTGTAAAAATAATTGCTAAGAGAATTCATGGAAAAAGTCGCTTACAAGTGATGGTCCATGCAATCACGAAGGGTCGGATATGACTGAATGGATAGATTAGATAGATATACTAGAATGAAGGTTTTCAGCTAGTGGCGCCTGTACATACGGAAATAGAATGTAGTCTCTGACCTCCTACCTCTGAAAAAAGCTAGTTGCCTGGTTGTTTCTTTCAGTAATACTTTCTAAGCTGCAAACTTGGATGAAGTCTTTTTGTGAGCATTCAGGCAAGTAGCTTTTTTAAAAAGAGAGATCGGCAACAAAGCCTATGTATTTTCTTAGCACGTGTCCTTAAACCACTTTAGTACCAAAAACTTTTGCGCCTTTCCTGTCCAGGCTAATTTTCCGCTTTCAGCACTATCGCACTTTGAATGACAATTACTGCAATCATGCAACACTGTACCCAAACAAAATTTTTATCATTTTTTCAGACAGATAGAGCTTTCCTTTGGTGGTATTTAATCGCCACTGGGCTTTTTATTTTTTGCTAAATAAACGAAAAAAGACTGAAAATTTTGAAGAAAAACATTTTTTTCTTCTTTTCTTTTATAAAATTTTGCAAATAAGTAATTTTTCTTTTTCACTGATGTGCGCTAATGAGGCTGCACTGATGGGCACTGATAAGCTTCACTGATGGGTACTGATAAGTAGGCACTGATAAGCTGCACTGATAATCAGGGTACTGAACAGCTGCACTGATTATCAGGGCACTGATGAAGCTGCACTGGTGATCAGGGCACTGTGTATCAGTGTAAACTGCTGTACTCACTGTGCCCTTCACAGATCCGGCTCTCCTTCCCTCATACATGATCTCTGTGTGAGGAAGGGAAAGCAGATAACCAGCAAAATAATTGAGTCTGTTTAACCACTTGCCTACAGGGCGCTTACACCCCCTTCTTGCCCAGGCCAGTTTTCCGCTTTCAGCGCTGTCACACTTTGAATGACAATTGCGCAGTCATGCAACACTGTACCCATATGAAATTTGTATCATTTTTTTGAGACATATAGTGCTTTCCTTTGGTGGTATTTAATCACCTCTGGGGTTTTTATTTTTTGCTAAACAAACCAAAAACAACTGAAAATTGCGAAAAAAAAAACGTTTTTTTCTTGGTTTTGTTATAAAATTTTGTAAATAAGTGATTTTTCTCCTTCACTGATGTGCGCTAATGAGGCTGCAGTGATGGGCACTAATGGGCTGCAGTGGTGGGCACTGATGAGGAGGCACTAGTAGGTGGCACTGATGGGCATTGATAGGCATCACTGATGGGCACTGATGAAGAGGCACTGGTAGGTGGCACTGATGAGCATTGACAGGCATCACTGATGGGCACTGAAAGGTGGCACTGATAGGCGGCACTGACTGGCACTGATATGCGGCACTGACTGGCACTGATTGACAGCACTGATAGGTGGCACTGACTGGCATTGATAGGTGGCACTGACTGGCACCGATAGGTGACCCTGAAAGGCAGCTCAGATGGACACTGATATGTGGCATTGATGTGCACTGGTAGGCACTGATATGTGGCATTGATGAGGCACTGATGGGCACTGGCAGGTGGCATTGATGGGCACTGACAGGTGGCACTGCTGGGGCTACACTGATCATCAGGGCACACTGATCATCGGTGCCCTGATGATCAATGTAGATGTCCCCCCCGAGGAATGACAATTACCGGCTCTCCTCTCGAGCTGTCAGTGTGACAGCTCGTGAGGAGAGAAATGCTGATAACCGGCATTTCCCTATTTTACATGTGATCAGCTGTGATTGGACACAGCTGATCACATGACCGAGCCGACATCTTCAGCTCTTTCCGTCGATTGGTGATCCGCTGTGTCCGAGGGACACAGCGCAACACCGATCACTGCGCTGCACGCTCCCGGAGCCGCGTATTAACGGTTAGAGTGGGAGGAATGTCATATGACGTCCTCCCAGAACGAGAGACCCACCTTGCGCCCATCATTGCCCTATATGGCGGGCGGCAGGCGGTTAAAACTGTGACAGCTGTGATTGGACACAGCTGATCAGATAGTTAAATTGGACACAGCTGATCACATAGTAAAGGCTCGCTGTGATTATCCAAGGCACACAGTTGTCACAGAGCGCTCCCGATGCGTGCCCAAGGGGGCGCACTGGAGGCGCGCATGTGGGAGGACATCCAGGGACGCTCTCCTAGAACTGGGAAAGTGGTTAAAGGTACTATACTAACTTGCAATTTTAGCAAACACTATTTATAGAAAACAAGCTAGATAATGTGCTATTTTAAAATGCATAAGGGTATGAAGTGGATGGGTTATAGAAGGTCATTTAGAAAAAAAAATGACACAAATTTGGATTTTCTTTGTAAATGTTTACCATTGTAAGGGTGATAAACAGTATAATAGAGTTAAGAAACACTGCACAGACAACTGTGCATCATAACCTTGGGTGGCTATGCTTGACCTGCACTGCTTTTAGTGCCTGTTCTATTGGGTGTACACATATAATGCATTGGAATCGGTCTTTCTACTCCGAGATTACAATTAAGCAGTATTACCTGTTGGTTCCAGGATAAGAGAATGAAGCATCAGGGTTTGAGCCCAACTGGAACTGTTGATCCTTTGCATCTGTCCTAATTACCCATGTCATAATCCTTCCCTCATCAATGCACTTCATAATTGCCCTTTGCTGTATAAGCCTGTAATTGTTTTTAGAGGCTCACTTTGTCAAGTAATGACACATTTTTCTTTTTTATATTTGTAAAGTTCTATGTTTATAATGCCAGGTAGACAGAGCTTAGCTGTAGTAATCCTTGTGTTTCTAATTTGTGATGTTTTAACAAACCATAAAAATATTTCAATTTCTTTTGTTCAAAAAAAGGTCCATATACATTCTTCAGTGATGAGGTCAGATAAACCCGACTCTCAGGAAAGGGAGTGACAAGCACAATGAATTATGTGTCTGTTTTTGTCACTAATTCAGGAAAATCTCATACACAGAAACAGCAGCATAGTATTACATAGCACTGTGAAGTACTGTATGTGTTCTATAATGTCAATAACATGGAAATAACAGCAATGTGCTAATATTGTGTTGAAGGCCTACTGATACATGATGTTTATGGGTTACTGCTGGAGACGTTGGTAGCCCTTACATTGCCAAATGTGACTCTCTCAGGCTTAGCTCAATTTAACATGCCAAAAAATGGAACCATTTCAAGAATATAAAAGTCTGTTATTTCATAAACAGCTGCAGAAGCACCCTTGTTGGTAAGACTTCTAATTGCCAGCCTGGACAGATAAAGTGGCACAAGTTATTTTGGCCCCAGTTTCTATCTCCAACTGAGTGTGAACAGCTGAATATATGTAAGAATGCAAGTCCTTGTTAATCTTTTTTTCTGCTTCAAGTTTTCAATTGCAGGGTTAATTTTTGTATTTTATGCCTGTAGTATTTGAATGTGTCAAATGTGAACAGATATCTGATTAGGGCGGTTTATGTATACAGCACCTTGTTTTCCTACGTGCAATTCACATGATAGGAGAAAAATCCACATGCATTTTATTTGATATCAAGTAGCATGCATTGATCTAGTTTAAAGCGAAATTCCAGGCAAGAGTATTCCAGCACCCAACAATATTTTACAGGCACTATTGGGTGGAGTGATATCTTGCCTCATGGGGCCAGCATAGCCCCAGCCTTGGTGTCACAATCAGGAACATCACAGGACATGGAGCCTGCAAGGAGGTAAGTTGTCAGTAAGCATCTATGCTAGGGGGTTCTTTAATTATCCCACTCAACACCAATGTCAGGAAGGGTCAGGGAAAAGGGGGGTCATTTTATCATACCACTGACACAAATGCCCAGAGAGTAAGAGGGCTAGAAAAGTCTTATTACGCCAATTGACATGGGCATCTTTTATTCCCACTAGCATCATGACAATTTTCTCCCACTTACCACCAATGCAGTGGCATTTATTTCTGCTACAGATTACCCACATAGTGACATTTCTACTTCCATGGACCACTGACCATAGGCATTTTTGTTTTTTACTCCAACTGGCCCCGTAGCTAAGAACACTTCTTGCTTCTGCTTTCCACCGACATGGGACATTATGTACTCACAGTAACCACTGACCTAGTTGTATATTTTTTTTTCCGATTGGCCTCAGAGCTTTTTGTACTCCCACTAATATAGGGGCATTTTCACCAATTGAGGGGGGCATTGTTATGTCCACTGATGACCAATAATGGGGCATCTTGCTACTCCTACTGACCACAGTCCTAACCGTGTGATAGTCCTGACCGTCTTTACGACAGTATCCTTCCACTGTCATGCCCTGACTTGGCCACTACTGCGTATAACGACTCGCTGTCAGCTGCCTTAGACTCCTTAGCACCCCTAACCACACGTAGCATTAGACCCTGACTGCTTCAACCCTGGCAGAATGACCACACTAAAAATCTTAAACGACGTAGCCGTGTGCTGGAGTGATTATGGCGTAAAACCAGATCCCCTCGAGCTTTCTCCGTCTACAAATCCGCCTTCCTCACCTACTCCTCCTCCCTCCACGCCGCCAAAACAAGCCTACTTTCGTAACCCTCATCAACACCCTCTCCACCTGTCCTCGCCGGCTCTTCTCCACTTTCAACTCCCTACTCTCTCCCCCCACCCAATACCTCACTCACCGCCCATGAGATTGCCAATCACTTCCAAAATAAGATCGACGTAATCTGTAAGGACATCGCCAATGCTCAACCTACCTCCCCACCTAGCCTCCCTCCCACCATAACCCCCCACAACTCTTCACTCCTCTGACTTCGCAACCGCCCTACTCCCCACCACACCTAACATCCCGCACACTATAACCTCCCCAACACTCTGCTCCTTTAGCCTTGCTACCACTGAGGAGGTCACTAAGGTCTTCTCAGAAGCCCGCCTCACCACTTGCCCCCTTGACCCTGTCCCCACACAACTCCTCCGGTCACCCTCCTCCTCCATCCTACGCTCCCTCACCCACATCTTCAATCTCTCCCTCTCTACTGGCGCATTCCCCTCCCCCCCTAAAGCATGCACACATCACCCCTATACTCAAAAAACCCTCACTGGACCCCACCGACCTGAACAACCTTAGACCCATCTCCCTGCTGCCATTTACTTCCAAGCTCCTTGAGCGCTAAGTCTACAATCGCCTAAGCGCCCACCCCACTGACAACCTCCTTGATCCATTACAGTCTGGCTTCCGTCCCCTACACTCCACTGAAACCGCCCTACTCAAAATCACTAATGACCTGCTAAGCAAAGCTAATGGCCACTACTCAGTCCTCTTACTCCTCGACCTTTCCGCGGCCTTCGACATAGTTGACCACCCCGTCTTCCTTAACAAACTACACTCCCTCGGCATCAGAGACTCCGCTCTCTCCTCCTATCTATCCCAACGCTCCTTCAGCATTACCTATAACGCTATCACCTCCCCCTCTCTCCCCCTCTCTGTTGGGGTCCCCAAGGCTCGGTCCTTGGGCCCCTTCTCTTCTCCATCTACACCTCCTCCCTCGGCAAACTGATACACTCCCAGGGCTTCAACTATCACCTCTACGCCGATGACACGCAAATTTACATCTCCACCCCTCGCCTCACCCCTTCAGTCTCCGCCCGTATCACCCACCTACTGAACGACATGTCAGACTGGATGTTGCTCCATTTCCTCAAATCAAACCTCTCCAAAACCGAGCTCTTGATTTTCCCCCCCAGCCCGTGCCCCCCCCCCCCCACCCTCTCCATCACGACCAACAACGCCACCATCAGTCCCAACTCACAAGCCAAAGCCCTAGGTGTCACTCTAGACTCAAACCTGTCCTTCCAACCCCATGTCCAATCGTTGGCAAACTCATGCAGGCTCTACCTCCGCAACATCTCCAAAATATGTTCGTTCCTAACCCCAGACACTACTAAACAACTCGTTCACTCCTTTATTATCTCACGCCTGGACTACTGCAACTCCCTTCTCACCGGCCTACCTCATCACAGACTATCCCCGCTTCAGTCTATCCTGACCTCAGCGGCCAGACTCATCCACCTTACCAACCGCTCTACTTCTGCCACCCCCCTCTGTCATTCCCTCCACTGGCTCCCGATTGCCCAACGCATTAAATTCAAACTACTAACACAGACATACAAAGCCATTCATAATACTGCCCCAAACTACCTCACTGACCTGATACCCAAATACCACCCTACCCGTAATCTTCGCTCCTCACAAGACCTCCTACTTTCTAGCTCCCTGGTCTCCACCTCCCACGCCCGACTGCAGGACTTCTCCAGGACTTCCCCCATCCTCTGGAACTCACTACCCCAATCCATCAGACTGTCACCTACCCTCCTCACCTTTAGGCGCACCCTGAAAACCCATCTCTTCAGGGAAGCCTACCCCGCCCTCACCTAACAGCCGATCTCCTCCACTCCTCCTACCACTCCATCCCCCACAGCCACTCCCTCCTGTACCACTATCCCCTCCCTCCTAGATTGTAAGCTCGAAAGAGCAGGGCCCTCGAACCCCTCGTGTATTGTTTTGTTACTGCATTGTCTCATGTTCTGTCCCCCACTATAATGTACAACGCTGCAAACCT